TCTTGCAGTCGAATAATCATTGCCTTATGGTCATATAAACGTGCCTATCACTTGTGCTATTTTTAGCAACAAAATTGTGGTTGGTGGTTGGTCGAACGTAAACAATCATTTAAGAGTGCTCCAAGCAGCTTTTGAAGCTTTTAAGCAAATGGCAATACAACTACATTCTTGTTCAACTCTGGAAGCTATTATTCAACGTTTGATCAACTCAGGTGTTGTATAAGAGCTCCCAATGGTTTGTTTTGATGCGTTTATTCCACTTTCTATATAGCTCTTGTCAATCGGTTTAACTAAGGTGCTATAAAAGTTATCGTAGGTCTTATAAAGCATATAGTTAAACCAAACGTAAACAATCATTTAAGAGTGCTCCAAGCAGCTTTTGAAGCGTTTAACCAAAAAGGCAATACAACTACATTCTTGTACAACTCTGGAAGCTATTATTCAACGTTTGATCAACTCAGGTGTTGTATAAGAGCTCCCAATGGTTTGTTTTGATGCGTTTATTCCACATCCTTTATGGCTCCTGTCAAACAGTTTAACCGAACGTAAACAATCATTTAAGAGTGCTCCAAGCAGTTTTTGAAGCTTTTAACCAAATGGCAATACAACTACATTCTTGTACAACTCTGGAAGCTATTATTCAACGTTTGATCAACTCAGGTGTTGTATAAGAGCTCCCAATGGTTTGTTTTGATGCGTTTATTCCACATCCTTTATGGCTCCTGTCAAACAGTTTAACCGAACGTAAACAATCATTTAAGAGTGCTCCAAGCAGTTTTTGAAGCTTTTAACCAAATGGCAATACAACTACATTCTTGTACAACTCTGGAAGCTATTATTCAACGTTTGATCAACTCAGGTGTTGTATAAGAGCTCCCAATGGTTTGTTTTGATGCGTTTATTCCACATCCTTTATGGCTCCTGTCAAACAGTTTAACCGAACGTAAACAATCATTTAAGAGTGCTCCAAGCAGTTTTGAAGCTTTTAACCAAATGGCAATACAACTACATTCTTGTACAACTCTGGAAGCTATTATTCAACGTTTGATCAACTCAGGTGTTGTATAAGAGCTCCCAATGGTTTGTTTTGATGCGTTTATTCCACATCCTATAGAAGCTCCTGTCAAACAGTTTAACCGAACGTAAACAATCATTTAAGAGTGCTCCAAGCAGTTTTTGAAGCTTTTAACCAAATGGCAATACAACTACATTCTTGTACAACTCTGGAAGCTATTATTCAACGTTTGATCAACTCAGGTGTTGTATAAGAGCTCCCAATGGTTTGTTTTGATGCGTTTATTCCACATCCTTTATGGCTCCTGTCAAACAGTTTAACCGAACGTAAACAATCATTTAAGAGTGCTCCAAGCAGTTTTTGAAGCTTTTAACCAAAAGGCAATACAACTACATTCTTGTATAACTCTGGAAGCTATTATTCAACGTTTGATCAACTCAGGTGTTGTATAAGAGCTCCCAATGGTTTGTTTTGATGCGTTTATTCCACATCCTTTATGGCTCCTGTCAAACAGTTTAACCGAACGTAAACAATCATTTAAGAGTGCTCCAAGCAGTTTTTGAAGCTTTTAACCAAAAGGCAATACAACTACATTCTTGTACAACTCTGGAAGCTATTATTCAACGTTTGATCAACTCAGGTGTTGTATAAGAGCTCCCAATGGTTTGTTGTGATGCGTTTATTCCACGTTCTGTATAGCTTTTGTGAATCAGTTTAACTAAGGTGCTATAAAAGTTATCGTAGGTCTTATAAAGCATATAGTTAAACCGAACGTAAATAATCATTTAGGAGTGCTCCAATAGCTTTTAAAACTTTTAATCAAATGGCAATACAACTACATTCTTGTTCAACTCTGGAAGCTATTATTCAACGTTTGATCAACTCAGGTGTTTTATAAGAGCTCTCAATTGTTTGTTGGGCATGTCACATCTGGTGTTCTACAGGGCAGTCATATTGGACCATTCTTATTCTTGCTCTACCTGAATGACGTCAACCTAATGCTCAAATGTTTTAAGCTCTCGTATGCCAATGACTTCAAACTCTTTTATGTAATAACCTGTGAAGAAGATGCACATTTCCTTCAGAAAGAACTTAACCTTTTTTTCCAAATGGTGCGCAATTTCCTTTGGACGTAAACGTTCTGTCATTTCATTTGATTACACCATTGCCGGAATATCTCTAAAGAGAGAATCTACTGTTAAAGATTTGGGTGTTCTCTTAGATTCGAAACTTACTTTTAAAGATCATGTAGGATATATAACCTCCAAAGCTTCTAAATGCCTGGGCTTTACTTTTCGTGCTGCAAAAGAATTCTCGGATATTCACTGTTTGAAGACCCTGTATTGTTCTTTAGTTCGCTCTACATTGGAGTATGCAGTTGTGGTCTGGGCTCCTTACTATCAGAACAGCGTACAGCAAGTAGAAGCTATCCAACATAAGTTTATTCGATTTGCTCTTCGACGTTTGCCTTGGAATGATCCATATAATCTCCCTAGATATGAAGATCGTTGTAAATCAATTGACCTTGACCTTCTGGAGGTTCGTAGCAATGTCACTAAGGCTTGTTTCATATCTGATGTTGTTCAATCTCACATAGATTGTCCTGCAGTGTTACGTGAGTTGAATTTTGATATTCGTCGTCGTACTCTACGTTCTCATCAATTTATGCGTATATCGACATTCCGTACTAATTATGGCTATAATGAGCGTTTTAGTTGTATGTGTCGTGTGTTCAACCGTTGTTACCATGTCTTCGACTTTCATTTGGAAAGTACTGTTCTGTTGATGCGAAAAGATGAGGATGTTTTATGCCCATTTGAGAAAAAAACGCTTTTATAAGCTCAACTTGAATGGGATTTTCCCTGCTCTTAATAAAGAATAAATGGAACCAATAGACAATGATAAAAGTCGTAGAACAAGAACTAAGCCCCAGGTCATATTTACATAACAGATAATGTGTTATTAACGAAAGAGAAAGTCGAAGAAGAGAATAGATCAATGTAGATAGGACCTATTGAAAAGTGACGCGACAAGTACTTGAATACAAGCGGCACCGGTGGTGTAGTGGTAAGCGTGATTATCTATCACCTCAGCAGGCCTGGGTTCAATCCCAGTTGGCACCACCGGGATGTTCTGAGGCATAACATCTCTGATCACGCCTACCTTCGGAAGGAAAGTAAAGTCGTTGGTCCCTGGGTCATGAGTTGATGGGTCGATATGTAGGGTCCAGGTGTGGAAGCTGCCTTCCTGGCGTCGGTGGCATTGGTACTCAGCACGGAAAACAAGATCGACGGAAAACAAATTAAAAAAAAAGTAAGATCATGTGACACAAGTATCACGCTTCACATCGCAATGCACCAGCCCTTGTTCCATAATCTCACGTGACTTACTGTATGACTTGCATCTAATGCACCTTTTTCATCTTTTATAAAAGCATTCAATCGCAAAGGGCCTTCATCGTCCACCATCCAGAGCTAAGCCCCATCCCCATCAGGTGTGCGGCGGTTTCATCAAAAAGCTCCCCATCCTGGCGGCCATCCCCCAGGGCAAAATTACTTCTGCCTAGAAAATGGCACACCACCTTTTGTTGTCAAATTGCGTACATCTGGTGGTGCGGTGGGTCCATGGCAGTATTATCGCTCCACTCATTGCTGTTTCATTCCGGCCAACAGCGAATGCAATTGCTGCAATTTATGCAAGTTCACCCATTTGATTCAGCAGAGAGACGATCCGGACGAAGTGGCGGTAACACCCCTTTGCCGAGGCTCTAAAATTTCTCCGCCATTAATAATTCATAGCCAACTGGTGCAGTGTAATGCTATGCAATCCATACTGCACCGAATGGGGAAAGCCGATGCAATCAGATTTATTTGCAATGTGTAACCTCTCCCCAGGTGCAAGCCCATCCCAGGCCGGTTGAAAGAAAATCCAAGCACGTTTCTGGATTGGAACGATATGTATTCCAATATTCGAATTTTACACTTCGATTAAAAACACCTTTCTGGAATGCATTTGGGTCATCCGCATCTCGATTACCACACAATCACAGCACTTGCTTTGCTCCCATAGAAACTGGGTCCCCCGTCGACGCCTGCTTTGCACTTTCGAAACATGACACGCAACGACCGCAACGGCGAGTGCATAGGAATTGTCTAGCACCGGCCTACTGTTGTTCTTCCCGGTACTTTTCTGTCAGCCATCAACTCGTTGTGTTTTGCATTTTAAATACCAATGTTAAAGCATTCTAAAGTTGTTCGGTTTTACTATCGCTACGTAACGGTTCGAAAAGTGCATCGGCGCCGACGACGTCGTCGTCTTTGTCGTCATCGGTGTCACATCTTTCTCCAAGTCTCGTGACAGTCGCCACCAAGGTACCTTTCCTTTTTGCCATCCGACAAAGTCGAAACCGAACCGAGCGAGGTCGGACTTTTACGGGAAAATTAAACATTCTCCAAATGAGATTATGTAAATGTGATGACCTATTCGTTCGCTACTCCCCTCGTCTCTCAGCGGCGAATGGAACACCTTCAGATATTGGTAGTGTTGTAGGGCTCGGCACGAAGGGAACGGAATGAATGAGCGTGTTTAAATTAACATAGTTTTGAACGACGACTGACACAGCTCCATGACTTCTGGTCGGTTGACTTCTTCCGAGACGCTCTTGGAGAAAGGCAACTTCACACTGTCACCCATGGGATGATCATCGAAGCAGGCGTAGGAGTTTAAAGTTCGGGTGTTCGGGAGGAGAAGAGAAGAAGGCCATTTTCATAAATTTCAAGGTAGATTCAATTCACGATATTGGATGCTTTTGACTTTCGAAATTGATAAACACAAATATTATCGGAAAACGCCTGTCGCATACGTATGTCGAACAACCATAAATCGATAATCAGCAGCAGCAACGGTGGCCAATAGGGTCAAATATTGCATTTTAATTTCGTTATAGCGTGGATGATAATTATCTGTCTTTATTTCTTTTTTTCAGACAACTGCCGGTGCCCTACACCAAACCGGGGGTCAATGGAGGCACGGCCATTCCGCTGCCGGCGACCGTTATGGTCACCCGGCGATGTCCACCGGATAAAGTGAGGCCGTTGCCACCGACCCCGAACCAGCAGACGGGTGAGTTTCAACTAGTTTACATTGAAGTACTGTGTGATGTTGCAACCAACCAATTCATCGATTGTGTTTTAAATCTAATATTTTCTAGATTTTATGATCACTTAGTACTTACCCAGAGTCAGTACTTAGCGGTCACCAAATCACTTATTGCATTCTCTGAAAGTTAATGTGACAAACTTTATGGGTTAAACACATACTTTTTAATCTTTTCTTGTAACTAACAAATACAAACTATACTCCCGATCATAAGTTTAAGGATACCCCCAAAAAACACGACAAATTTGTTATGTTCATATCTCTGCCATGTTACGTCCAATTTTCGTTCTCTTTAGATCATTTGAAAGGTATTGAATGGAACTTTCCTCGTATGCAAATTGTTCAATATAATTTTCAAATTTTGTGTGCTAAAAGTTCACCCAAATTTACAATATTTTTCAAAATTTACTCTGAAGAATCGTGACGGATTTTCTCAGAATTGGGTTGGCCAAATTTTGAAATAAAAGTAGTAGTAGAACACGCTATATCATTCATACCATTCAAATAACGAAAATTGAACGTTAAATGAGAGATCATTGAACAAAACATATTTGCATGGTTTTTTGGGGGTGTCCTTAAACTTATGATCGGTAGTGTGTCTATTAGAGTGGTTCAAAACATCTATTTTTTTTGCAAAACTAGGACAATTGATTCCAAATCAGGTCCTGATAATTGTTCCACAATTTGAGATTATTTAGATGCAAACTTATACTGCACTGGACCTTTGAAGTTTATATGGGAATTACTATAAGAAAAATGACTTTTATGTTCTTAGCGTCCTAGCATAATAATTTACGGAAAAGTTTGCGATAAAAATTTACGAAAAGTTTGTTATCAGCTCATATGTGAAATTTTATTAGCTGTATCTTTGCGCAAGACCACTTTTGATTAGACTTCATGCTAATTTGTAATTAATTGATTTCAAAGCCGATAACTTTCAGCTATGATTAATAGACTGCTTTTAGGGCAACGCTGTATCATGCACTTATAACTTAGTAGGCTGAATTTTTGACCATGAGCAATTTATGAAGCATGTCAAAAGAATATCATTTTCCTAATGAATTAATATCTAACTATCCTGACGCTCAATCAAAATACAGGAAACAACGCCGGTGGTGTAATGGTAAGCGTGATTACGTCTCACCCCAGCAAGCCTGGGTTCAATCCCAGTCGGCGCCGCCGGGATATTCTGAGGCACCCGGTCATGGACCCCGGTTCAGGAGTTGATGGGTCGATAGGTAGGGTCCAGGTGTGGGAGCTGCCTTCATGGCGTCGATAGCATTGGTGATCAGTACCGAAAAAACAAGATCGACGGAAAACAAATCAAGGGAAAAAATCCAAATACACTTTTGTCTTGAGCAATGTTGCAGCTGAGAAAATTTCACATTAGTACAGATAATAGCGTACTTTTCCGCAGATCATTACAGTGAAAGGCTAGAACGATGAGAAAAAAAAGTTCACATTAGCCTAAGTAATTCCCATATAAACTTCAAAGGGCCAGGGCAGTATGAATTCGCATCCAAATGAACTCAAATTTGGGAAGAATTACCAGGACCTGAATTGAAATCGATTAAGCTTGGTGGAGCAAAATCTATATATTTTGAATCACTCTGCTATCTATATAAAGTCATTCCATAGAAAAACGAGATAGTGGTTCTCAGAATTTCGTAAAAAATTATAGTTTTATTCCTTATCGCAAATTATTAGACCAGTATTTTTGTATTTTGTGTCCAAAAAATCGATTTTTTTTCTCAAAACTTACTTTTCTTTAAATTTTATAACTTTCAAAGATCAAAATATCAAATGAAAGGTTATTTAAAATATATTTTTTTTAATATAACTATATAAAAAAGAGGATTTTGCATTGAAAAACATTGATTGCATTTGTTATTTTTTTATCGTTTTTTATGGTTTGTTGATAGAGGGTGCAATATGTTTTTTTAATATTTTTCCTTCGAAAGTAAGACTTTTTTACACAACCTATAAAAAATCAGCCATATGTTTTTTTTTCGTTTTTGAGCTATATTTTTTTTTTAAGCTATCAAGGTTTGGGTTTGATATTCGAAAACTAACTTTCACGCTCTTCAGCACAGTTGTAGTTGAGTTAAGTTTAAGCGATTTTGCTGGAAAACTGATTTTTGACGTAGGACTTTCTTTACTATATTGGGATCACATTATGAAATCGAAAATGAGACAAGTAACGAAAATGTGGCAGTTTTCAAACGCATATTTCTCAAAAGCATTAATGGGAAATATGTCAGGCAATATGTCATTCGACGAAAAAATTATCCACAAATCTTTGGTTTTAAAATATACACACATATATACATATATACATATATAGTACACCTAGGGGCATCCCACTCTAAACTTTGTATTTCTCGCATTATACTTAGAAAGCTCTTACTGATATCTAAGATACCTGAAAATACTTAAAAATACTTAAGAAATATTTAGCGCTAGTTTGTTACCACCGTTGCTAGAGAGATTTCTTTCGATTATTTAACCGCTGTCATCTGGGATTTCGTGTATGCGTGTTTAGAAAAATCAACTATAATTTTGAAATGTATTCCTTTTTTGTAGGAATCGAGGAAGAGCAATTTTGATTCAAAGAATATTACATTGCCAAACCGATTTATCTGTCATTTAAAGGGAGAATAAGGAACTATTTGGAAAGTTACTATGGAATAAACTGCCTGTGGAACAAAGTGTGGAAGCAAATCCTCTAAACAATTTTTTCTATCCCAAACCATCTCTCCATAAAAACATATTTTTTGTCCAACAGGATCTTGATCCAACGGACGATAGCTTCAGGCATTTACGTTGATTGAAGCTGAATAAGAAGTTTTGAAAGATTTCCGCACCATCCGCACTATAACATCCGGAAAGCCACATCTCCTAGATTACAGCCGAATGAGTTTATTGTAGAAGTTAATCACATTTCCTCGGATTTGGAGCCTTCAATGCATAAGACTTATTATTATTAAGGCTGGACATGATCATACCAACATATTCGCTTGGTGTTTATTTCGGAACCGCTCTCTAATTGATTCCATCATTCATCAGAAACGGTTGTTACGTATTAAGACATAAATATGGGGATATTTTGAAGAATATTTTGGCATATGTTTGGGGAATAGTTTGAAATAAATTCATATATTTTATCTTAGGATTGTTTTACACGAAATGGAAACAAATAAATAGCGGGTTTGAACTAAATCGTTGTATTTGGTACATCAATTATTTGAAATAAATTGATATTTCAGAATAAATGAATTTTTTCCTTGTTATACTTATTGGTTTCGAAGCCTAAAAGTGAGAAATTCATGTTAATTTCACATAAAGCCTTCGGTTACTATCAGGATACTCACTCAGCTTCCTCACCAGTCCGTCGTAACTCATCTTTACAGATGTAAGTTTCTCAAAACGCAGCACGATACGACCACCAGTGGCAATTGCAATCACTTCAATTTCTAGTCAACCAACCCAACAATTTGCTAGCAATTACACTTCATTGTATTGCTATTGTTCTCTGGTAAATAACCAGCGTAGTCCTAGCATTCTTGACCAGCATAAAGCCAAGAATTTCATACACCCGCACCATTAGCCTCCAGCTAAGTTATAGAACTCCAAACTTTGAAACCTTACTGAACAGCCAGTGCGAAATTATAAATAATTAACTGGTTTTCTGAAAGAAAACTGGTCTTTGATGAAATGTTTCATAAGTAGAATTAAAATACTTACTCATACACATGAATACACTACTTCCTTAATTTTAAAACAGATTGAAACTAGCATCAATAGTACGCGATTAATCGTAATGGAATATACAACAACAAACAATTACATTAGTAACCGCTCACTACGATTTAAAAAATCAAAAACATAACATACTTAAAAATACTTAAAAAGACTTAAGAATACTTATCAGATACTTTGAAATACTTAATTGATACTAGATCTATAGTTTAGAGTGGGATGCCCCTAGTAGTACACCATTGAAAATTGATCAAACTTTATGACTGAATTCAATGTAAATACCATCAAAAATTTAACCACTCATTTTGAATGCAATAGGAAACGGGTGGATCATTAGCTATTGTATACGTACAACTCAAACGAACATAAAAAATCTTTTCAGTCTGTTTCAATCCATCGAGGCAGGAACAGCTCGTCGTGAGCCGTCGTTAAGTAGATAAATATTTTAAACCTGAGGGTGATCCCGGCATAGTGGTTAGCATCCATATCCCTCACGTCAAAGTTATGAGTTTAAATCTCACCCCCAGTCATGTCACGAATGACCCAAGAGCGTTAAAGTGACTATAGTTCTAAAAAAAATCTTAAGCCTGAGACCTTGACTGAAGGCTGCTGCCTTTGACAGAGTAGTTCAGATCAACAAGAGAGTGAATACTTATGCCGTTTGAAGCGAACCCTCACCAGGGTTGCAACCTAAGAGCTGTCAAACTGATAGATTGAACGCCAGTTACCAACCTAGGTTCACCACCAAGCAACCTGAAAATTGACTAGGTTCAAATCCGAATTTTTTTAGAGGTTCTTCAGTTTCAAAACTTATGGTATGGGTAAAAGTCAAAAAGGTAAACAAAAAAAAAATCAGTCAGAACAGAATTCCGCAAAATGATGTAGAGTGTTTGTGTAGGTTTTGTTATAAGCTACAACTTTTGTCAACAACTCAAATCCGTATCTCTTATGCATGGCGAACCAGAGCGAACAGAAGCCACTACCACTACTCAATGAATGTATTTTACATTCACTGAAAAACAGTAACAAGTTCTACCCGGTCTAATTCGTGATGCATAAGAGATACAGATTTAAGTTACGGGCATCATTTTGCGGAATGCTGTTGATGAAAAAAGTTAGAGGCAAATGAATGTAAATGAATGCATGAAATGAATGTAAATGATTTTCCATGCCTGCCGGGGGCCAACGGCTTTACTTCCCTTCCG